AAAAAAAAGAAAGTAATCATAATAATAGAAATGAGTTTTTGGCAGCTCGAACGCAAAGATCGCAACGCAACGACAACCTCAAAATGTCTGGTGCTAACAGCCAACAGGACTGTCCAACCGTCATGCCTCGCGAAACACATAGGAAACAAGAGCCCGTGTAGTTCATAGATTAGAATCACGAGATTAAAATTATTTTTATTTTACGTGTGTTTTTTATGAAAAAAAATACTATAACAAATCATGAACCATAATTCGAATTAAAGAACGAATCCTCCAACTAAACGAGAAATGATCAGATCTAAAAATTCGTACCCACGTTGCTTGTTATCATTTTTTAAATCTGGTTATCCATACGTGTTATTTTTATAAATAAATGAAGTTATGTTGCCGTCAATCATTTAAAAAATAAAATAAAAGTTTACAAGGGTCCAAAGTTTGAAGTAGATTAGGCTTGCTTGTTATCATTTTTTAAATCTGGTTATCCATACGTGTTATTTTTATAAATAAATGAAGTTATGTTGCCGTCAATCATTTAAAAAATAAAATAAAAGTTTACAAGGGTCCAAAGTTTGAAGTAGAACAAATGTTACAAAATGAAGTTCAATAGTATTTTGTTATCGAGAAGAAAAGGTGAAATTTATCTTTTAAGTTTTCTAAAAAAATAGAATATTTAAGCAGGATGCTATTTTATACCACCTGTATGAATTATTTTTTCATAGTTGGATTAGTTTTTTAACGGTTAGATCTATAGCACGAATAGTTCTTTGTGACGCGTTATAAATTTTTAATACGAATTTGCATAAATCTGACCGCTAGAAAACTAATCTAATAGTAAAAACAATTGTTCCTACCGAGTCCCATATTTAATTTGGAAATGCCAATTCTCTTATGGCATGTTTACTTAGCAAGATTGAGGAATGAGAGTCAATCTCATTCTTTCTTTTCTTGAAACGAGAATATAATTGGTGAGCCCTACTCAAATTTGAGATTGAGAAGTGGGATTGACAATCTCACGCCCCTTATGCATTGGACTCTCATTCCTGGTATTGACTTAAATTACCATTACTTATAAAATATAATATGAAAAATAAAATTCAAAAAATATTAATTACAATATGTATTTTTTATTTTTTTTTGCCTAATATTAGCCTAATTATTGTTAATTTTACTATAATAAATATGTACTTTATCGTGTTTATTAAAATTAATACTGTATTTTAATTTTCAACACATTTTATTTTTTATTTTTATTTATTTTATTTAAATTTTGACAATTTATTTTCTTATTTTAAATAATTATGCAACTTATGTTTATTATTTTATCACCCTATAATTATAATAAGTATTTTAGTTAAGAAAAAATTTAATATAATAACTACACAATTTATTTTTTAAATTAAAAATATAAAATTTACTTAAAGGGTATATTAGTATTTTTATACCAGTATATTTTGATTCTGAATGTAAGTAAACATATAAATGAAATTTAAAATGACTCTAATTTTGAATACTATCATTAAATAAACAACTTAAGAGACGTTTGGTTTATAACCAAACATTCCCTTATTCTAACTCCGTTTGCTCACTCGAAATCGTACGCATTTCAAATCTTACCCACTCCGTCAGTATTGTGTACAAGCAATGAAAGTAATGTAGAGAGGTCGTTGATCATCGTCGTTGCCACCACTAGTATATAGCCATATAGGTCGTGTACATTTCTAGGTTTTCAAAACAAAATAAAAAAATAAAATAGAAAGAGTTGTGGCGCCTAGACATTTGGATATCTTCTAAAACACAAGTCATCTAAAACAAAAAAAGAAGTATAGTTTGTTTTAGCGATATCAATGGAGACACCAGCATGGTGTGCCCACTCTAAGGTCTCGTTCACTTCGCGGATTTGAGTTTTCAATTCGAGTTGAGATGTGACATTTGTTGAGAGCTTTTCACTGTAGCAGAAAAAGTTAGACGTGACATTTTCTGAGAGTTTTTTACTGTAAAAACTTAAAACTGAAAACTCGAATCAGTGAAGTGAACGAGGCCTAAGCTTTCTCGAAGAGCAATTCCTTCAGCTACTTGAGGGGAGAACTGACCTTGAATTCTTTATACTGACATGCCAAAATAGTCTCTCAAGCATCTCTAACAAATTAAATGAATAAAGTTTAGCATTTAATTTTTTATTAAGTATTTTTATATTGGGCGATTCATTTTTTGGCATTTGTAAACTTGGAATTGGAGTTAGAAAGTTAAGTAGGGGCGGGAGAATACCCCAAAAATTTCATCAATTTCATGTAAAAATCAAGTGAGACACGTTACATATATTATGTGGTGGGACAAATATAAAATTTCAAAATTTTAGAAATGCGAATTATAAATTTTGTCAGATTTCATATATAAAATTAAAAAGAAAAAAACAAGTATTTTTGTTTCCTGATAAGCGTGTTTTTTTACCACTACATCAAAAACCAACATCAATACAATTTTAATCAAGCAAATTGAAGAAAAAAATATATGGTTTGCACTAGACAATAGACATGTTTACTTTCATACAATCACATATTATTACATATAGATATTTAATTGAAGAAACTTAATAAATATTTCTGCTGCTCTGCCATGCTTTTTAATTAACCAGGTCTCTCCGCATATTTTCTGTTGAGGAGGGATCGGTGATCACATATTTTAAGGCATGATGATTTATACTTGACATTTGGAAGATGGAGTTTTTTTGCTAAACTTTGGCAAGTGCTTTCCGCCCAATATACAACCATTCAGGTTGAGACGCATAAATCATTTTGCTCCAAAAGTTGAGACGCATAAACTCTATTATTCAACTTGAACAATCCTTTATTTATCAAAAACCCACAATTGTCCTTAAAACCAATTTTACTTGTAGGGCAAAATTAGAGGTCCCTTATCAATTGTTATTCTTATTAGAAAAAATTGTTTAATTTATTTTAAAAGTGTATGAGTCTAGATTTTTATTTATTATTCTTGATTAATACTTTTTAACTAATATAATTATTTAACTAAAAAAGATATTAATTAATAATAAATAGTAAAAATCAGACAAATTTATCTCATTTTCTTTTATTATTATTATTATTATTATTATGATAAAAAAGAATTTGAGAAGCAATTTTGTATACGTCACCCGTTAAAATTTCAGGGACAGTTGCACCCGAACCACCGAATAAAACTACAATTTACTCGTAAATGACAATAATAAACAAACATTACTGAAAAATGACATGACATAAAAACGACAAAGTTTAGAAAAACGATATGTATAGAGAGCACAAGAACAATCCAATCACAAAAAAAAAAAAGGCTGAAGTTAGAGAACGAACATGTCTAGCAACAGCATCGGTTAGGAAAAAAAACAAAAAACAAAAAAGACGGAAATTCCAAAAACGACAAAAGAATACAATACTGAATAAACGACACAATAAGAAAATGGAACACTTCTTCTCAAATTAAAAAAGAAAAAGAAAAAGAAAAAAGAACACTGATCTCAAAATACATGTCTAATTTTTCCAAAAAGACAAAAGCAAACATTTCTACGCCCAAAAAAAAAAAGAACTTGAAAAACGACATCAACTGAAAACGACAAAAATCTAGGAACGGATCTCTAACCCATCGGCGTCCTTGTGGTGGTCGCAGCTGTCGCCGCCTGCCGGCGAAGGCGGAGAGAGAAAATTAGGGATCTGATGGAACGCAGAGTAAAAAGACGCAAAAGTCCCTATCCAGACCAACCTGCCAAAACCACCGATATTTTCACCTCTCTCCCCCATATCTCCTCCACACGTGGGGAAGTTGCGAAGGGTAATCTCGTAATTTCACTCCATTACGTGGCTGTAATCCATTACCCGAAAGGACAAAAAAAAAGCAAAAAAAAGCAAAAAAAAGAAAAAAAGAAAAAATCAAACAAAGCCAGTGGCTGAGCGACTGGCGTATATTGCGAAGGACCAAGATCCCCACTCGCTCTCATTCTCACGCGCCCCTTTCTCTCTCTTCTTTCTTTCTCTTTCTCTCTCCTCTTCCCCCTTCTTCTTTCTTCTGCTTCTTCTTTCTTCTTCGTCGAGTGTGAAACCAAACCCTCCCCAAATTGTGTCAAGCTCTACTGATCTTTAATTTCTGGGAAGGGTTAGGGTTATCCCTAATCGGGATATCTTTATCCTGATTCGGAAATCGAAGCGGAGAGAAGATGGGGATGAATTCGATAACCTCGGAGTCGAACAACGACCTCGATGAGCAGATCTCGCAGCTCATGCAGTGCAAGCCGCTCTCCGAACAACAGGTTCGATCTCCGCTTCTGTTTCGTACTTTTCTTGGATGATTTCTGGGTGTTGTGAGGATAATCTTGTTTTCTAGGGCCCCGTTTGGTTCCCGAGAAAATTTGGGATTTTTAGTTGATACTACTGGGTAAAGTTTGCTGTTTTTCGGTGAGTTAGCGGTTGATTTGTTTGTGGATTTTCCTCTTAATGACTGGAATTCTTTTCGGTTCTTTGCCCAATGCGACAAATCGGGTCGTTTTGAAAACCTGAAGGTTAGGGATTTTGATGGGTTGATTTGTGCTGAAATCAGTTTCTAGATGTGGAAAATGAACTTTCTTTTCTTCTGCGATGAGTTTTAGTGACCCATCAAGATTAGAGTTTTTGGGCGTTGTTTGATGAATTAGGAGATCTATTTGGGAAACCCAGAAGATTTGAAGAGGGACCGGATTTGAATCGGAAATTTCGAACCTTGAAGCTCAGATTCTGTTCTATTGGACAAAGACAAATTTTTTTTTTTTTTAGTTATTTCTTTATTTTCTTCATTGTTGGTTCCGTGCTAATGTAATATTACTTATTATTTGCTTTTCTATGGCTGTAGGTTAGAACATTATGTGAGAAGGCCAAAGAGATCTTAATGGAAGAAAGCAACGTTCAGGTATAGCTCTCCGTGCACTCTTGAAACTAATCATTTTACATCTAAAAAAAGTCCATTTTTCCTTGCAAAATGAAATAAAAGTTTGTTCGAGGTTTCAACATTCTTGGTGTTGGATTCGTGGGAAATGCACGTTTTATTTATTTGGAATTATTTGTATCTCTTTTTTAGTTTATTTGGTCTGTATTTAAGCAATTGGATTCTGTTTGATCAGTGAAGAAGAAAGTGTATGTTTAGTTGAGTGGGATAAACTAATTTCTTTATTTCCTGAATCACAGCCTGTTAAAAGCCCTGTGACAATTTGCGGTGATATTCACGGGCAATTTCATGACCTTGCTGAACTTTTTCGAATCGGAGGGAAGGTATCTATTCTGACTATGACCTTGCTGATCAGAGGAGTATCTTTAAATTCTTTTCAAGAAGAATCCCATGAAAGCCAAAAGTTTGTAAAGTTCGTCGTAGGAATTTTCGGTTTGTTTGTTCCATTTCTAAATGTAGTATCTTTGAGCTATTAACTAGATGTGATTTGGGACGATAACAAATTGGATATATGCACCTCTTGTAGAGAATAACTGATTGTGTTAATTTTCACTTCTTTCAATTGCAGAATTAATGTTCTTGTAGGCTTTATGGTAGTGGTGAACTTTTTTGTAATTAAATTCTATTTTATGGTGTTCATCGACAGTGTCCAGACACCAATTATTTGTTTATGGGAGACTATGTGGACCGTGGGTATTATTCTGTGGAGACTGTGACGGTATGTGGTAGCACTCATCTCTTAGGCATGAAGCTTTATCTTATGCTTTCCTGATATAACATAAATATGAAATTTATTGTTACTGTAGTAAAACCGTTTGTCAAGTACCTATATCGACTACTACGAGTACTTTGGTCGCTTTCTCTGCAATTTGATGCTTATTTTGTTTAATTAAAAAAATCCTATATTTGGTGTTTTTCTTCAAAAAAATAAAGTATAGTTATATTGCCCTGGATTTTTGAAATTGTAATGGTATAGTGACTGATTAGTTCATTCATTTCAGCTTCTTGTGGCCCTAAAAGTTCGTTATCCTCAGCGTATTACAATTCTTAGAGGAAACCATGAGAGTCGTCAGGTATTTGTTTATTTGTTTTTTTTTTTTTTTTTTTTTTTTTTTTTTTTTTTTTTTTTTTGAGTTATTAGAACTTGCATTGTGGCAATCATGGGAGACGAAAGGAAATATGGAACCAATTTTAAACAAGTTACTGAAACTTTGGACTAAACGATGCTACATTGAATGTGATTGATCTAACTATAGCTTCAATTTGTGGCAGATTACTCAAGTTTATGGGTTTTATGATGAATGTCTCCGAAAGTAAGTCTTCTGTGACGTATGGATAATATTGTAGTCTTAGATACTAAATATTAATTTATGTCTGCAGTTTATGTTACTCAAATTGCCATTGATTGCTTCCATGAGCTTTTCTATTGTACTAATCTGCCGACATTTTGAACTCATTAGAGTCCTTGTCTAAGTACTGAGACGTGATGTTATGGAAATAAGGTGGTCTAGTGTTCGGCTGCATTGCTTTAATAGGATAAACATTGATTCTTATTGGTGGTTTGATGCAGTTCTATGTAGGTGAATTTTTTGCCTTTTTGCTAATCAATAATAGCATCTGTGATGATTTATCTGCAGGTATGGCAATGCCAATGTCTGGAAGATCTTTACAGACCTTTTTGACTATTTTCCACTGACTGCATTGGTTAGTAAATTTTTTTGTGCTATTAAATAACTACAATGAATAGGGATGGGAACAGAATTGGCATGCTAACTATGAAAAGATCTTGTCTACAACAACAAACCTTAATCCCAACTTAATGGAGGTCGGTTATATGGATTTCACTTTTTCACACGGCTTTGTTCGAAATTAAACTTTTTTGAAAGCCTAGATCTAGAATGTCTTTTCTAACAACTTCGGTCCACGTAATTCTTGGTCTACCTCTTCCTCTCTTAGTATTAGGTATAAGAATGTCATCTCAAGCACGAACTGGTGTTTCTAGTGGTCTACGTTGGACATACCCGAACCACCTCAAGCGGCCTTCGCGCACCTTATCTTCTATTGGTGCCATACCTATTTTACTACGAATAACTTCATTCCTTATGCGATCCATTCTCGTATGACCACTCATCCATCTTAACATACGCATTTCTGCCACACTCATCTTAGATATATGTTGTCTTTTAATGGCCCAACATTCACTACCATATAATATAGCTGGGCGGATTATAGTCCTGTAGAACTTTCCTTTCAACTTAATAGGCATATCTCCCGTAATATTCTTCCACTTAATCCACCCTGGCTTAATCCTATGTTGAATATCCTCTTCTATATTTCCTTCGTACTGCACTATAGACCTAAGGTACTTAAACTTCCTAGAAGCGCCAATCTCCACACCATCTAAAGAAATTTCATCACTCTGATTACTTGAGTTACTAAACCTACAATGCATGCATTCAGTTTTCGTCCTACTTAACTTAAATCCCTTCGTCTAGAGTCTGTCTCCACAGTTCTAACTTACGGTTAACTCATTCCCTATGTTCATCAACTAAAACTATATCATCCGCAAAAAGCATACACGAATAAACTCAATCTTGGATTTCTCTTGTCAGCTCATCCACCACGATGGTGAAAAGATAAAGACTAAGAGCAGATCCTTGATGAAGGCCGATCCGAATGGGAAACTCTGTCGTGTAGCTTCCAGCAGTTCTCACACTCGTGACCATCCCATCGTACATGTTCTTAATTACCTTAATATACCTCACATGCACTTTTCTCTTTTCTAGCACCCACTATAAAACTTCTCTCGGCATCCTATCATATGTCTTTTCTAAATCTATAAAGACCATATGTAGGTCTGTCTTGGCTTCTCTGTACCTTTCCATCAGCATCCTAAGAAGAAAAATGACTTTCGTGGCATGAAGCCATTGGTTACCTGAGATGGTGGTTGTGGTCCTTAATCTCATTTTTATAACTTTCTCCCAAAGTTTCATAGTGTGACTTATTAACTTTATGCCCTTATAATTGTTACAATTCAGCACATCTCCTTTATTCTTGAAGATGGGGACAAGAATATTTTTCCTCCATGCATCAGGCATATCCTTCTTCTTTAGTATCTCATTAAAAAGCTTGGTGAGTCACACAATTCCAGCATCTCTTAACGTCATTCAAACCTCTATTGAAATATCATCAAGCCCACATGTCTTCTCCTTTTTCATCTTCCGCAGTGCAGTTTTAACTTTTGAGACTCTGATTCCTCTTGTATACATCACATTAGTTTCTCCTTGTGACCTAAGATTGTCAAACTCTATCGCATGATCATCATTATAAAGCTTCTTAAAGTAACTCCTCCACATTTTCTTAATGTCTTTATCTCTTGTCAGAACGTGATCCGTATCATTCTTAACACACTTCACTTGATTTAGGTCCCTAACACTTCTTTTCTCTAATTTTAGCTAGTTTATATATATCATTCTCTCATTCTCTAGTCCCATATTTTCTATATACCTCATCTAAGTAGGTAGAACAAGCCTTACCAACTGCTCGTTTAGTTTTTTTTTTCACTTTGTACTTATTAAAAGTTTCAACATCCTTACGTTTTGGTAAATCTCTATATAAATCCCTCTTGGTCCTAATAGTCTTTTGAACTTCTTCACTCGACCATCAGGTTTTTTTCCCAGGGGGCCTTTACCTCTAGATTCCCCTAGTATCTCCTTTGCCACTTTTCTAATACAGCTGGCCATGACATCCCATATAGTATTTACATCACCTGCATATGACCAAGTAGCCTCATTTAACAACTTCTCTTTAAAGGTCAATTGCTTTATTCCATTAAAATGCCACCAACGAGTTCGTGAGAGGTGGTTTATCTTAATCCTTCTATAGCAAAGCATAATAATTATATCCCCTATTTGCTTAATCTCAACTACGTCATTCTTCACAGTTTTGTCCACTAGAATACAAACTCTATTGCGATTTCTTTCCCAACCTGTATACCATAATTTGTGTCTTAAATTTTCAATCTCCTTTGCTTTCTCTCCTATCCACTTCGTTTTCTGTAAGCATAAAATGTTAATTCTTCTTCTTACCATAACATCTACTAACTCCATAGATTTACCAGTTAAAGAACCTACATTACAACTACCTAGACGAATTTTCCTATCAATGGACTAGCTCTGTCCCTTGCACACGTCCATGAATGTACAAGGACCCCCCTTGCATATTTTTCACCATATCCGGGCCCCGACATGGCGCATGGGTTCGCTTTTCCCCCCGCACACGTCCATGAATGTGCGAAGACCCCTGCACACTAAAGATCTTCTTGTCTAATTATTATTATTATTTTTTTTATCCTAAAAGCAAGAGCTTTTTGTTAGCTGTTTCCACGCTTTGTAACTGGTTTTTAAATCGTCGTAGTTTTTTTTTGTGTTTTGCCAGTAGCCAATAACTTATAGTCCCAAGTATTTTAGTTTTTATTTTTATTTTTTCATAAATTTCAGGTTGAGTCGGAAATATTTTGTCTGCATGGTGGATTGTCCCCTTCCATTGAAACCCTTGATAGCATACGGAATTTTGATCGTGTTCAAGAGGTTCCTCATGAAGGGCCCATGTGTGATCTGTTATGGTCTGACCCAGATGACCGTTGTGGCTGGGGTATTTCTCCTCGTGGTGCTGGATATACTTTTGGCCAGGTGACTCCAGACATCCTTATTATATTAGTATATTGTTGCCGGACATTTTTCTTAAGTTCAATGATTCCTTTTTATTTTTTTATTTTTTTATTTTTTGTGTAATGCTCTCCTTGCCTTTACATAGATAGTTCTTCTGATTTAGTATTGGCATTCTTTATTGCAGGACATATCTGAACAATTCAATCATACAAACAACTTAAAGCTTATTGCAAGAGCGCATCAGTTGGTTATGGATGGATTTAACTGGGCCCATGTAATTATCCTATCCCTTATTCTGAAATATTCGTTGCCTTTCTTGTTTTCAGTATGGAAAGAACTAAGTTGTTTTTACACTAAATTTTTGGTTTGTTGGAACAGGAGCAAAAGGTGGTTACTATATTTAGTGCACCTAATTACTGCTATCGCTGTGGGAACATGGCTTCTATTTTGGAAGTCGATGACTGCAAGAACCACACTTTCATTCAGGTCTCTCTCTTTCTCTCTCTCATCTCATGTAGTGGTTGCATGTTTCCAATGCGTGAAAACTGATTTCAATATGCATGTTGTTGCAGTTTGAACCAGCTCCTAGGAGAGGAGAGCCCGACGTCACGCGTAGAACTCCGGATTACTTCTTATAAGGTGGTTGAAACGCTCGCTGTTATTCTAGTTACTTATTCCACTCATGTTCTGGTGGTTGTGCAAGATGACTCAGGTTTAGAATCTACGGTTCTACCTTCTGATGGTTTTGTGGGATAGGATCTATCAAAAATAGAACATAAGCTCTGCCTACTGATTTGTCTTACACTTGAAACATCGCTGGATTTTGCGTCAAGAGAGATCGCCAAGATGATTGTTTTAGTCTGTATCATATCCAGCAGAAATATGTGGATATGTACTCTCTTTTTTTGTTCTTTTTTGTTTCTTCCCCATTTTTCCTTGCCTCGTTGTTTATGTCACCCTTCCCCATTCTTTGATGGTTTGAGTATGGGTGAATGGATTTTATAATTAGTGGATATTTTGCCCTCTTATCCCATTACTTAAGTAGTTATGGTCTGATTTAAAAGGATTGTTCTTAAGACGTTTGTTCTTTGTTATGATTTTCCTCCAACTGTTGCTATGCATGCAATTAGTTATTGTTACCTCAAAAAGCGTGTGTTTTGTGTATATGTATAGTGTGTGTGTATATGTATAGTGTGTGTTGCTATGCATGCAATTAGTTATTGTTACCTCAAAAAGCGTGTGTTTTGTGTATATGTATTGTATATGTATTGTGTGTGTGTGAATTTTGGTTTCCTCAAAGAGTTGCTCTCATTGATAAATTATTTTTATTCTGAGGTAAGGGACATTATTCGTTCTAGTTGTTTCCATTTAGTATATCGACTTTTCCAAGGTGATAGCGATAATCCCATATCTGTATTTGGCCGACGAATGAATGAGATTCATATGATAACCTTGATTATGTCCCATTTCCATACCACAAGTGCCCGTTATGAAGAGGCATTTCACGTGGACAGCTGTTTTCTTGTATTTTGTATAGTTGCATGATAAGGAGAGATGGTTTGATTGCTTTAGTTTATGGAATATGATGGCACCACCTGGGCCTGGTACTGGCTTTGATTGCTTGTTGGCTTTTGATTGCTTGTTTAAGTGTTCAAATAGATAGTCTGAATCAGAATTTAAATTTTATAAGAGAAAATATAGTAGCATAACTTTTTAAATAAATTTTTTTTTTTTTTTTTTTTTTTTTGTGAAAAAAGAACGCTATTTGACCTAAAATTAGGATAGTTTGAACTTTCAAGTCAAACATGCATTCTATGCTAACGTCCATTTGCATTCTTTTTCACCTAAATGTCTCCCTGCCATTTGCATTCTTTTTAGCTCCTTTGCACATCTGCATAGCATTGCCTGCTCTAATCAATGAACAGACTGCATTCTCATTAGCGCAAATAATGTTGTGCTGATTTAAGCAATACAATATACGATTTTTACAAAATTGAAAGGACATCATATCCAATAAGGACTTTCTAATTACTTATACAAGCATTACAAGCTCAGCTGAGAGAATAGGGATGGAACAAGATCTACCACAGCCCAAGCAAGTCCAGCATACTGAAGGAACCTTATACCTGTGTCAATGTCAAACGCTTCTTGATTGGAGAAGAAAAATAATTTTTGCATATAACCTGCTTGCTTGAAATCGTCCGATTTTTTCGAGTTTTTCCCATTGCTTGATTTACCAAGTGTAGGGATGTAGGTGGTCGATCTTATTGGGATTCCCAAAGCATTTGACACGATGGGAAGAATCCATTTAGCAAGAGCCTTGCTACAGAACTTCACAACAAGTATTGTTGGTATTCCCACAAGCATTCTTCCAACAAAAGTAGAGAATGGAAGTTGAGTAGTGAATACGCGTGGGACAGCTTCGTGGTGAAACTGGTGGTATGTTTGCTGAACACCGGTTACCTGCAAGACATCGCGCTTGTTAATTATACATGTTGCAACTTGCACAAAGAAAACATATTTGTATCACCGCAATTACTTAATAAACAATGAATTGAGAAAGAAAAAAGATCTTGAGCAGCTTTCAATGCTAAACTTAAACTTGTGTGTTCTGTAATACACACACACACACAGAGACGGAGTCCATCATAATACAGTCCTATGTTGAATTTGTGTTCATCAAAGAAGTAAAAGGAAGCAAAAGATTAGTTTTGCTTACAATTCCCAATGCAACACCATTGAAGGCCGTGTGAAACTCAAAACTTGGAGTTGGGAACTCCGGAGTTGGATAAGCGAAAAGCAATAAGAAGCTTAGAGCACCCCAAAAGGTTGTAACTGCACGGAAAACAGTACAAGAAAACCATGAATAAGCAGGAAGCTTTGCCAAAACACAAATTTTCAAGTCAATATCTTTTAATAGTGTGATCTCATTATGGTCATTCATGATTCAAATAGTGCAATAGTGGATAATCCAACAAGAAGTGTACATACCATTTTGTCCCGAGACTATAAAATTGTCAACGTATTCATGAACTATAAGCCAAAAAGCAAGAATCACCAATCCCATAGCAAGTCCACTTATGACATCGATCAAACTATGCATTCCAAGGTAAATTCTTCCTATCAAGGACACAAAAAATTAGCTTTGTAATTTACCACCAAATGAAAAAAGAGAACAAAGCTTCCCACAATACAAGAAGAAATTAAAAAGATCAACTTACCAAAACCAATGAGGCTCACAAGCAAGGAAACAAGGAGAACTCCAGCAAAATTCAAAAAGGCGCTTTCAAGTTGAGTGTAAGACAGAACATAGTACAATAGGAAACTGGAAAAACGCCAAATAAGGAAGAATTTTTAATCCAGATGAAAAAACATATCCACAATTGTGGAGCCACATAGCAAGTCCTATATATGTACTGCTAATGCTGCAAAAATACCTTGCTAAGAAAAATATAACCAGTAGGATAAAAAAAATTGCATCACATTTCTACAATCATTAAGCAAACTCCCTCATAAAATAGGGCGGTCCAGTCCTTCACAGAGGATCATTTATACCGTAACATGTAGAAGTGAAGGGTGTAACATGACATTTTAACAAATAACAATGACTTTGAAAGGGTGTAACAATGATTTAGACTGAATGAATTCCTCAGTATTACACCTTTCTAATGTTATTGTTACGTAGAATAAACGTCATTTTTTTGGCATTAAATTTACTTACACCTCCAACTTCCACGTGATACATTGTAGAAGGGTCCTCAGCGAAGGACCTTAGCCTTTACGTAAGTTTATAACAGATATATCGAATCATAACAAGTTCATCACTTTCTCACTATGCAGACAACAAGGCTATTGTTCAGAGAATCAGAGGTTATAACTTATAACCCTATTAAAACCATAACCTAACCCTACTTTTTAGCTACTTCTGTCTTCTCAAAAGGAAAAAATAAAAATAAAAAAATTGAAGAGAAAAAGATTGATACCCAGATAAGCAAACTGTATTAAGAGTGTGAGAAGAAGGCAATCCATATTCCATAGCATTATCTTCCTCATCCTTTGTAGCAGTAATTCTCCTTATAGGTGGAGAACTTGGTCTAGGAGCTGATACGACATCCTATTGGACACAAAACACCAAAAACATCTAGCTTAATAAATTTTTTTTTGTTTTATTTATTTATTTTTTTAAAAGAGATTGGTCAAAACAAAACTCATCAACCAAATTAACTACCTTTATACAGTTTCCCAAATAATCACAAAAAGCCATCAGCAAAGTCATCTGCCTTGCCAATTTTCCATGCCCAGTCTACAAACAAACACAAAGGCATTAAGCAAAAAACTTGTAAAAATCAAAATTGACCATTTCAACTGAGAAAAAATAGAAAGTAAAGCGTACCCAGAAAAGCAAAGGGAGAAAGGCTGTGTAAAAGGGCACAGAAACAATACAGGACAGCCCAGAGAAGAGAGAATCCAAAAACCCATTATGGTATTTCTGCAAAAAATTTTAAAAAATAAATTAAAAACAAAGAAAATATCAAATGAAAACAAAATAGAGAAAATTGAAGAAGATGATGATCTGGGTCATTTTGAAAAGGGTTGAAAAATGGTGGGAACCTGGATCTGGATAATGAGAGGAGTTCCTGTGACGACATGGTGAGAGACCCACGATTGGAGCAAAGATCTAAGCTTTTGGGTGACATTGAAGAACGAAGAAACGACAACCCATGAGACAATTCCGCAGAGAGCCGTCAATTGCCACGCTGAAATGCTCTCCATTCCTCTTTCTCTCTCTCTCTCTCTCTATCTAAAACCAGTGGCTAGTTGGAAACAAGACCCAGAATAAAAAATAAAAAAAAAATTAAGAAAAGTAGTTTTATTGGGTCTTGGCTGGATTTTGGCTGGCGGAGATTGCAAAATCCAGCAACACGGGAAGAGGAGAGAAGTTTCTCACACCTGAAATATCACAAATAAGTCAAAAGGAATTTTTGAACACGAGAGAAACTCTTCCATCTTTGAATTTCCACCCGTGTTTCCTTTATTAAGAACATCGGTATTCTTTTTTTTTTTTAACAGCAAAATTTGTATTAAAATTTATTTATTTTATATCATTTTTATTTTAATATAATTTTAAACAAATCTAACAGTTAAAATTTAACAAAACAAAAACACAAGTATTCAAGAATGGATTAGAAACTTTTTTTTTTTTTAAAAGAGGGGTAATAGCTCTATTAATAACTAATTTTGAGATAGTGATATTTTAAGTTTTGAACTTTAAAATTAGGATTAATTATAAAAATTTATCTTAAATTATATCTCTTCTAACACTTTATCCATTAATTTTTAAAATGTAACTTCTGTTCTTCATGAATAATGAAATGTTAATAAAAAAGCTCCATCCGTCAAGTCTCTTAAATTATATCTCTTCTAACACTTTATCCATTAATTTTTAAAATGTAACTTATGTTCTTCATGAATAATGAAATGTTAATAAAAAAGCTCCATCCGTCAAGTTTTTAACTAAAGTTGGCATTTATTTTACTATTTTGGGAATATTTTGATAATTTTATGGTTTAAAATTTAATTCGAATTTTAACTAATTTAAATATTCAAAAAAATTAGGGTTGACAATCCGAGTAGCGACATGATGACATGACTCGAAACCCACACGAAGTTAGCGGGTTTAGGTTTATCATAAGTAGGTTTGGATCAAAATCAGGTCGAACCCATGAAACACAATTAAATAGCTTGTCGTTTTCAAGATGACTCATCAATCCGTAATTAACCCACCGTAACCCGTTTATTAAATGTGTCATATTTGGGTAACATGAATACACAATGTAATTACAACCCGTTTGTTACCTATTTTTACAAATATATATATATATATATTTGAAGAAAAACATGTTGAGAAATAGGTTGACACGACCTTATTATCACTCATTTTATAAATGGGTTAATAAACGGGTTATTAGAAATATGTTGACACGATACTATTATGACATGTTTAATAAATGGGTTAGTCGTGTCGTGTCGTGTCAACCTGTCAATATACATGTCGCGTTTAGGTTTTATATTTCGACACGAATAATAAATGAGTCATGTTCGCGTCAGATCTTACCGTGTCAATTGAGGGAGTCAACACGACACAACAACACGAATTGCCACCCCTAAAAAACTTCATAATTTTTTTTTACTCTACTAAAAACAGATGGATAAAATTTTAAAAATATTAGCTTATATAAATTTTAAAAACTTCATAAATTTTCAATTTTTTTTAAATTAAAAAAAAAGAAGGATGAAAGTATGACTCAAAATATTAGCTTATATAAGCATCTCTAGGTTATATATAAATAGTTAAACAAATTGCTTATGATTTTTTTTTATTATTTTCTAGAAAATTATGGAGGCATGACCGTTGCTATTATAGTTGATTAATGGCTTTTTTGCATGGGTGTCCCCTCAATTTATCGTCTCTAAACTAAAAATTATGGCGATTAACCCTTGAATTTTGAAATCCTTACATAACAAGTGTAATTGAAAACAATGTTAGATTTTTGACAAATTTTCTTCACATGAGCAGCACGTTGCTTTGAGAGGAGGGTATACTAGGTCTTTTTGATCAAATTACGAATTAACAAAAAAATAAAATAAATAAAACATATAAAGTAGCAAGAACCCTAGTCCCACCCTTCACCTTCTCCCTTACCCCCGTTTCACTCACTGTCGGCCCCCCACCCTACCTGATGCCGACGTTACAATGAATCTCTAGTGTCACAACGCAAATGAAGCCATTGCAACAAATAACCATATCCAACAAAATCTAGATAGAATAATTTTTGACAAACAAAGGAAAAGTAAAGCTTGATGTCGAAATTGGCACTGACGACGACAAGATTACTAGAGAAAGGACTGAAATCTAGAGTTAAGACTGGTTACCAATTAATCTGCATACCCTTCGTTGTCTTCCTCTTCTTCGAATTTGGTGTTTCAACTCTTTGTTAGGGTTTTGATTTTGAAAAAAGCAATTGCTTTTGGGCAACAAGTAAGAGGAAGGGGCGTTTCATCTTTTCTCAAGGATTTATTTTTATTTTTGGAGATGTACCAATGTACACATAGCTTCTATATGAAAGTCATTTGAGGATTCTCCGCCCCTCTTATGAAAACTGATAAGTTTGACAATTTTTAAACAAAATATATGGTCGATGAAAATATATGTGCCTTTTTTCATCTTAAGCAATGCAGTTCCATTTAGGACTCTGGCTTTGTTTTGTTGGTAGTCATGTTATTGATGATTTGTTCCTTCCAAAAAAAAAAGAAAAAATATTGTTGCTGGTTTGTATTTAAAATAAACATATAAAGAGATGTTCCAGTCTTGCTTGTGTTTCTTGTTCCTTGGAAAGTTGCAGGTTGAAAGATTCAAGCGCGGTTTTTGTTCTCTTTCTCAGTTTTAAAAATTTTTCTCATTTTTATTTCTTAAAATAAATGATATAGGTTAAATTTCAAGCATAAAGACCTAGGGCTTGTATGGTTCATGCGTTTAAACCAACAATTCTTGATTTTGACATTTAAAATTTAAATTTTTTATGAGAGAAAAATATTACAGCAGAATCAAAACTATGAGTTTAAACGCAACAAACAAACGAGCCCCTAGTATACCCTCTTTCAAAAGTCACGTGATTCTCATGTGAAGAAAATCCATCCAAAATTTAACATCATTTTCAATTAGACTTGGTATGCAAGAATTTTAAAGTTTGAGTGGTCAATTACCATAATTTTTAGCTTGGACTGATTTGCAAATTGCAATAAGTTGAGGGGCACTCATGCAAAAAAGCCTTGATTAATTGGATGGCAGTTTTTTTTTTTTTTAGTTAATAGGGTGGCAGTTGGCGCATGACTCTACCGCGTTGTGCAAAGTTGACCACAAAACTAGTTTGAGGTTTGAAGGAAGGTTTGACCTCTCAAATTCATAACAAACTTTTCTTTTGGGGCGTTTGGTATGGGGTAATCATAAGGGTAAGAATGAGAATCTTTCATATTCCCATGCTTGATATAATTATTAGACTTTTTTAAAACCCAGGAAAGTGAAATCCATGGGTTTCACATTACCACATTTTGAGGTAATCCTAAACCCACCCAATAGGGTGTTATTCAAATTTCCAAGAATATCAAAATCATGAAAATCTCATAATAATAATAATAATAATAGTAATAGTAATAATAATAATAATAATAATAATAATAATAATAATAATAATA